GCGAAACGGCCGTTCAGTGCGTTTTCCGTGTGTCTAAGTCTGGCTGCGGTTCACTCTACCCACCTTTTTGGACTATCTTATGTTCTACCACATTCTCATCAGTCGGATTATCCTAATCCCAACGGTGCTTGTCTTGGCAACTAGATAATACTATGGTAGCCGGATCACGGCTGCTTAACTGAAATGAACTGAACAGACCAATTTGAAGAAAGGGGCATATACTGAATCAGTAGTTAAGGCAGTTAGCCAATAAGTCTAACAGAAAAGCGGAGCGTCAGACACCTGGGTACAAAACCCGTATCTTTTAAGAAACGAGGAGCACCGTACTGACCTTTCGGACTTCCAGCCATTTATAAAACCGACACGATCGGAACCGATGTGACAAGAAGAACTAGTACATTTCAGTAAAGTTCAGTGATCTGACAAGAAGGGCTACACAATGACGAGCATGTGATGAAAAGATGCGTACAAGAGAAAAATACGCGGAACTGAACGAATCTACTAACAATTTATGAGTAGTTGATTTCTGTTTGATATTTTCACACCGCGATGATTTGAACCGTGACACGCTGGACTATACGCCCGATAATTATCAGAACAAACCGATTGAGATCCACGATCATTCATATGTTTGTTCTGTTTATATAACGTTCCAGCTTTTTAACCATAACCTGATCTTAAGAATTTCCACGCCATTGTCTGTGCGCTACGTTTATGGATGGTGGTATCCGGTTCCCGGGTTGCCTGTCACTGTGGCCTCCACGGGGACAGCCACAGGACGCCCGCGTCTACAGAGGGACCATTGGTGGCTTGCGCTACACTACCCACACACCCCATATCTAGTGTGAGCCCGAAGGAATAAGAGCAGGAGACATGCGAATGAGAGCCACCTTTCAAAGGAGCCGGCCAACACTCCTTCAACAGGCACAGCAGCAGCATTCCTGTCTATCTATGTAGGGAATCATGCGTACCAGACGTATACAAGGCGGTGGCTGGGCCGTAGTCCGCTCCACACTGGATGGAACCACCCTTTGAGCCTAGCAGGACCACGAGGACCGTGCATCCCGTCTACCCAGCAACAATTCAGTTCCCTGGAGCCAGCATTCGAGGTGGAGGGTTAGATAGGTAGGCACAGTCACACCGGGGATATCAAACAACCAACATAGAAGTTGAGGGAAAGCAAACACGCAAAACTGACACAGAAGATGCAGTAAAGAACAGAACTGAACAAATCAAATAAAGTGATGACTTATCCAGATTAAAGACTTGAATTAAGTGTAAGTTGGTTTAGCCCAACCGCGGTGAGAAGCATCATGAATGCAACATCAACCTCAACATGAGGATACGTTCATAGAACCTACATGCAGCTATTCGAACTGGATTTATATTACATCGATTAGCGAGCCTTTCCATCTATTCGTAAGTCAACTCTGTATCTTTGTTTATAAATGCTAGTAGAAACACGAGTTATTCAGTACAAATTATTCAGCTCACTTCCCTCGTATCTTACCGCCCAGACTGTGCGTAGGTCTGGTGACTAGGCACGTCAGTCGGTCCTCGAAACAGTTGCTTTAACTTAATTTAAACAGTTCGACTCGCTTTGTGATGGATGGATCAAGCACACTTACCCTCTCAGGGCGCTCACGAGATGTTAATGATTTTGTTGCCATGTCCACTGCTGATCAACTGTGTGCGGCGTTGCGTAGAATTACCGAACTAGGAAATCGGTTAGAAGCTTTTACCTCTAAGGATGCGGCGAAGGCACCTACAGGAACCGTCAGGTTAGATGGTCAAAAATTGCGTTGCCAAAGTGACCAGTTGTCGACGCCTGTTTGTTACGTTGAAGACTATCTTAAAATGACCCGAGATCTTCGTGTGGTGGTGTTTGTGGAAGCATGCTTGTCTGATGCTGAGTTTCCGAGGTTTCGAGTCCCGCCAGCTGCTTTGCCCGAAACCGTTTCCGGTACACTCGAAGCTCTTGCTGGTTTAACGAGGGAAATTGTATGCTTTAACGGTGACAGAATGCAGTATTGGCTGTTTGTACGCAGTTTTTAAGCAAATGTCATAGGTGAAACCGATAACCCTGGGATAAGATTCAGTTCAGTTCGCTGGAACAACTATGATCCGAGCAGTGTTAATGTTCCGTCGTCTCTTGCGTACCCGATTAGATTTGTTACATGAGACCACTAAGTTGTTGTAAGGCAACGACAGGCGAAAGGAGCATATCATAATTGCAGTAGGGACGGAATCGTGACAGTGTCAGAACCAGTTTACGTTCGTTTACATACAGACTCTGGGTAGGAGCCACTCGTCATCAAAACGACTAAGGAACAGATCCTAAAAGTAGAAAATGAGGATGGCCGGATCGTGTGGCACCATTTGGACCGTGTGTGACCAAGATTCTGCTGAACCAGAACCGACATTGCAGTCACCGACCGACAGGCAGGTAGTTGACGCCCAACCAGTAACTGTACCTTTGTTACGCCGCCCTGGTCGTCAAGGCCGACCAGTCGAGTGCTTTCAGGCCGGTTAGCTCAAACTAAAGGGGTGAGGAATGATGCGGTCATTGGTCGTGCCAAATCCATCTACCGCTAGCTAGCCGGCAGGGCCATTAATGCTGAGTAGGAGCGCGTTCATGTCTGCGTATCAACCAATCAGTGTCCGCTATCGATTCACTTCGAAGTGGAAGTCGTTTACGCGTCCATGTGACTAGCGTCTCAGCCAGTTTTGCATGCTCACATGTGCTGAGTGGAGTGTACCGTTTTACGCTTGCTACTAAAGTTTTCCTGCTACCATACCGCTGTTCTAATTTCACTTGGGTGGAGCAGACTTGTAGAGAACCAGGCTTTAAAGAGTTGTACTAATTTGTCTGGGACGCCGCAGAGACTGCAGTAACGCAAACCATGTATTTGAATGAGGGTACTCGAAGAACTGAAGGGCCTTGTACGGCAGAAAGCTCCAAAGTCGTGTTGATCTCATAACCAGTCTGGCAACTGGAGGAGTAGTACCGTAGACGCAGAGACGCGTACTATCGTGTGTGGCGTGTACAGGGCACCATTACCACAATTCCAAACTATGGACAGTGCCAAACGCTTGCTGGAAAAGGTTTATGTGGACTGAGTCTCGAAGCCAACCATACCTCTGGAAATTGCAGATCCCGATTTAGTTGCGGACTCAACGAGTGCCAGTCGAAACACCACCCTTTGTTACACGAAGTAAGGATGAACAAAGTGACATCATCAAGGGAAGTGGTCAACGAAACGACAGTTTCTAGAAGTCAGATGGCTCTAAATATTATTTCAGTTGCATTACGTGGACAGAACAAGGCATTAGTGACAATGCTTTACTTAACTCCGGATCCGATTCACTGATTATTGACGAGCAGCTTCTGTGGAAATTTAACTTACCACCTAGCCCTCAGTTGTGCAGATATCAACGGTTGCACACCTGGTGTTACCGAGATCATACGCGACGAGAGTGGATAGCCGATTCACAGCTTGTCAAAACGCTTGGAGTGTTGGGCCGAACACTGCAAAGCAGTTTAACCAATCTGAGTTATCGCTTTCTCTTTCGGGCATTGAATGCGCTTCTCAATGGGTCAACTCCTTGGATCCACCCTCACGCGCAGAAGTCGGACGTGAGACCAGAATGCTGAAATTGAATAAGGCTGCAGGGGTAGATAGAATTCCCCTGGCTCTCTTCAAATGCGGGGGAATTGCTGTTGTAGATGATTTGCGCGAGTTACTAGTGAAACTTTGGGAGTAGGAAACTGTCCCGACAGACTGGAGCCGATCCGTCATAGTCCCAATTTTCAAAGGAGGCTCGCGTTCGGAATGCGGTAATCATAGAGGGATCAGTCTGATCTCAAAAGCTCCTAAATTGCTCGTGTCTGTCGTTCTCCACAGACTTACTGGTACTCGTGAAAGTCAGCTACGTGAGGAGCAAGCAAGGTTTCATAAAAATCGAGGCTGCATCGACCACATGTTTGCTTTGCGTCAATTGTTGGAGCACCGCCATGATTATTAGCGACCCACCGTTGTCGTGTTGGTCGACATCAAAAGGGCCTTCGATTCGGTGGATCAATGTGCCCTTTGGCACTATCTGCAGAGGAAAGGTGTGCCTGACAAATATGTAAACATCATCAAAGCGATGTACGTGCATAATCCGGGCAGAGTGAGGGTTTATGGCAAACTGTTGCCACCCTTCAGTATCACCAGCGGTGTGAGAAATGGTTGCCCGCTGTCACCTTTCCTCGTTAACTTCGTTATTGATGAAGTCATAGAAACAGCGTTCGCTGGACAAGACCTAGAAGGTGTGGAGATACTTCCTAGTGAGCAACTTCTTGACTTAGAGTATGCGGACGATATTACCCTCATCTGTGACAGCTCCCAAACATGCCAAGCAGCACTGACTGTCAATCGTTTTGGGCTATGCTTTACTCCAT